CTCTCTCTCTCTCTCTCTCTCTCTCTCTCTCTCTCTCTCTCTCTCTCTCTCTCTCTCTCTCTCTCTCTCTCACATACATACGCAGATACATTCTCCTGTCTATTGATGAGGAGCGCCACCTGCTGGAAACTGGGTCCAGCGTCCCATAAACATCGGGAATAAAGCACCAACCGGGACCCCACACACACACACTCTTCGAGTTGTGTAAACATGACAAAACATACATACAGCATAATCACTACCTTACCCTTCCCGAACCGCATAAACAAACGAACTACGGGCTGCGCACCCGTGCCCTCACTGTTAGTCAATCCCCATACCCGACCAATAGTACCTCTACTCAATGCATTGTGGGAGCAGTACCTCATCGATGGCCAGCCTTTACGGCCTCAGAAAGTCGCGGCACGTGGCCTGCGGCCCAAGTACACCACAACAGGCGTCGGCAAAAACAAATAGCAATACCTTTCTCGGCCTTTTGGCTAAGGAAGATCAAGTGTATCCATCGGCCCATTTGAAAAAACAAAACAAAACAAAAAAAACAAACAAATAGCCAACCTACAACCTACTAGCCAGCAGACGAATGACCGCAGCCCCGCAGCCCCGCAGCCCCGCTGCCCTTCAGCCCTGCAGCCCCAGGGCTGTAATGAACATATACGGCAACCCACTGTACGGCAGCCTCGGGGCTGCGCACAGACGCGCTAACCCCCTTAGATACGGCAGCCTTACGATGTTACACGAACGTGCGGTCATTATCGCTGTATCTTTTTTTTTTTTTTTTTTTTGTGGGTGTTAAACTGAGAGTTCTCCCAAGTCGGCCATAATGACCGCACGCTCTATTCGGCGGAAGACGGTGGGGCTCCGAGCAGGTTGTGTGAGCTGCGAGCCCAGGGTGTTGTAGAGGCCAAGGTCCCAAAAAAAAAAGAAGAAAAAAAAAAAAAGGAGACCAAGGACCAGACCGCGGTGATTGCTGGCAGCGGCATATGGGGACGATCACGGACCTGCGACCTGGTTTTGTATTTTTCCTTCTTTTTGGGCCTGCGACCTGTTTTTCGTTTTCACAGCGAAGGGCCTGACTCCAGCCCACCAAGGGGTGTCGCTCCACTACGGTTGTAGGGCGTCGCCACACCACTCTCGAAATGTGCAAAATGAGAATGAACTTCCCGCTAGAACATGGCCAGATGTACCCGCCACATTTTTGTCTTCTCACATTTCTCGAGTGGTGTGGCGAGGCCCGTAGTCTCGACATGCACAAACGAGAAAAATCATGGCGGTGCATATTTCCATGTTCTTGTTCTAGGGGAGGGTTCATGGCGGTGCATCTTTCCATGTTCTAGTTCTAGGGGAGGATTCATGGCGGCGCATCTTTCCATGTTCTTGTTCTAGGGGAGGGGATTCATTCACTCTCGTTTTGCACACACATTTGGAGGGAGAATTTGGAGGGTAGTCGAGCGAGGGGCAAGGTTAAACAGGTTCCGACTTTTCTCAGATTCGAGAGTCGGTCGGTATCTCGGCTGAAAAACAGGTGACCTGACTGACCAACGGGCTTACGGTAGCTCGGTCGGTACACCAGGGACGAGGCGAGGTCCCGCTATAGCAAAGAGGATTGGATTGAACGCCCGAATGTGGCCGCTTTTGCGGACAAGTGCAGAAAATCGAGATTGAACTCCTTTTCGGCATCTCTTCCTAAAACACGCCCAGATTCCGGATCTTTCTTAATCTTAATCGAATCCCCGTTGCTTGCTACCGGTAGTGGGAGCGTGCTCCAGTGGACTGTTGAAATGCTCGACGTTAGTTCGAACCCAGCAACTGACTCAAAAAAACATATGAACATGAACATGAAATGAAAGCAAGTAATAATTAAATTAAATTGATTAATTCTAATTCTGAACATTCTGAACATCCTGGGCCCCGTCAGCTGTCGACCGTCGCCCATTTCTATAACAGGTGCACTTGGCTGTAGAAGGTCCACTTGCCTTGTGGCTGCCTTTGGCTGTATGGTGCACGAATGCATGTGTTTCGCGGTTTATGCGTCTCATGATTGAAAGCGCAGGTGCTATGCTCTCTCTCTCTCTCGCGTTCCACTTTTAACGGATATCCCGAGGAACGACAGATGCATCTGTTACCGAGGAACGACAGATGCATCTGTTATCGAGCAGGAGCGGAGCAGAAAACTGCGATAATAATACTGTTACCGTCACAAGGGCTATCTTCGTGCGAGAAGGAAGATCGCGACTGTGACTGTCAGATTAGAGTTGCCTGCACCTGCAATTCCTGTTCCTTCTCGGGGCAAAGTACTCAGTTTAAAGTACTCAGTTTTCACATCTGAACTCTCAGCTTTGTGCGCCTCATGTACGCGCTTGCGTGCGTACATTTGTAGCCCGTCTTCGTCTCCGTGCGTCTGCAACCTCCGGAGCGCTGGGCGGCTGAGCGGGAGAGTGCTCTCGGGGAGAGAGAGAGAGAGAGAGAGAGAGAGAGAGAGAGAGAGAGAGAGAGAGAGAGAGAGAGAGAGAGAGAGAGAGAGAGAGAGAGAGAGAG